ATGTACCATTTACTGTATAGTTTATTTCAGTAAAGCCATTTCTATCTATATATACAACTGCTATTTATTACACACATGTAGCAATATCTGAAATCATATTCACCTGATACAAATAACAATGATCTCTATGTAGTAAAATCTGTGGTGATTTTTGTTTTTATTCTGTGAATTGCTTGAATTTTTTTAAATCTTTACTGCTGAAAGTATTACACATGGCCCCCTTTTTCTCCCTTTGACCCCTTATAGCCTGCCCCTGTCCCCCACCGCAGGCCTCCACCACCCTGTTATCTGAGTCCATGGGTTATGCATATATGCATATAAGTTCTTTGGTTGATCTCTTCCCACCCACCACCCTCCTCCACCTTCCCTCTGAGATTCCATGCTTCTATGTCTCTGGATCTATTTTGTTCATCAGTTTATTTTCTTAAATAAGTACTGAAAAAAAAAAATACATAGTGGAACTTGTTATACCATCTCTCCTGATAATAATTCTTATGAATAAGACTTTAAATGTTGATGTATAAGTCACGATATATTCTTACATATTTCACTATGCTATGTCTTCATTTCATAGCTGAGAATCTGAGGGTCATAAGGGGAAATAATGGTTCACCCAGCTAGTCACTCAGATCTTCAGAAACCTAACCCAGTGCTTTCAGGAAGATTGGCCTTTGCTTCTCTTTAGTGAGGTAGTAAGGGAGGACATTACCATAAATGACTCAATAAGAAGTTCCCACTGTTAGAAACAGACTAAAGACTGTGACCATAATGGGGGGTGGGGGGTGGGAGGTAGGATTAAACAGCTTTAAAGGTCGATGATCTAACCAGAAAATAAAGGCAGGAAACCAAGCCAGAATCTTTTCCCCAATGATACTGAATCAAAGGAACAAACAAAATCAAATTTATTGCTCACTTGAATTCCAGCCCTTGTTTTGGCATTATTCAGGGTAACACAACTCTTCGTGCTCAGAAGATCCTGGAAAATTTTCAACTGAACCTATGCTCATTACCTAAAATAATCTTCAGAAAAATTTCAGTAGAGAAACTGAATAAAAAGAAGCATTCTTTAATTCTCCAACCAACTCTGGGCAACTACATTAGGGAGGAAAGAAGATAAGTGTTGCTCAAGTTAGATTTGAATAAGGGCAGGAAATTGCATCTTTTAAAAACAGATAAGAGCTTCCATTCGATAAGTATATAATAATAGCTTCTATCATTTGAGTTAACATTTATATTATTTAAAATAAGTTCTCATCCTGGTGCCGTTCTATAATTGGCGTGTGACAGAGTACACTTTGAAGCAAATGGGAGTTCAGAAAGCATCTTCTATCTTTATGTTATAAGCAACCTTCAGACTTTCCTAAACAGACAAACTTTCTTCTGTTGCTATGCAACTGATATGCAATACAGTCAATCAGACAGTCAATAAATTATACATTTGACAATGAAAAGTCTTTTCTCCCTGTTTGAGAGTAAGCCACAACTTCCTTTCATATTATACTAACCACCACAGCCCTCTAAAGCTATGTCACAATGGCCAATATTTTGACACGATGAACAAATGAATGACTAAAACAGCAATGACACAGATGCAACCAATACCATTTAATTCACTCCTGCAGGCCTGGGAACATGGGCACCCCAAACCTGGTGGAAAGAAGCAAGTTTATCTCATACCCACATTCTTCCGGGTAGCAGAATATAAGCAAATTTAAACAAATGCCATTGGCAGTCACCCATCACTGCGATGTCTCAGGCATGCTGCTATGTAAGTGCCTAAGAGTGATTTTCGCCCTGAGAGAAACACCTCTGAGGGTAAGATGTTACAAGCCTGGGGAACTTGTGACTCATGGGCCAGACGTGGACAACAACCATGTGTAACATGACCTGCTCAATATTGACAACACTATTCTCCAACATTGAAAATCTTTATTTCTATTTTGTTTGTTTATTTTGTTCATTAGATTCCACATGTGAGTGAAATCACATGGTATTTGTCTGTCCTTACTGGCTTACTTCACTTAGCATAACACTCTCCACATCTCTCCATGCTGTCACAAAAGGTAAGATTTTCTTCTTTTTTACAGCTGAGCAGTATTCCATTGGGTCAATGGACCACAGCTTTTTATACTTTCAGGGATCATTTCTATAGCTCATTACTAGCAAATCTGATTTGATGCTCCTTACTCTAGGCTAGACCAGTGGTTCTCAAAGTATGATGCCCAGACAAGCAGCATCAGCCTCACCTGGGACCATGTCAGGCCCCACTCCATACCTGCTCAATCAGAATCTTTGGAGGGGACCAGAAATCTGCTTCAACATGCCCCTCAGTGACTATAATGCATCCACAGGCTGAGAAACACTACTCTGGGGCACTACACATATTGAACGACGTACAAGAAAAGCAGACTTGGCCTGCATTAACTGTCCTGGCCCTACAACCCCTCCCTCAACATATTTCAACAAACTAAAACATGAAAAAATCAATTGGCTTCCTCAAAGCATTTCTATCAACTTCGAGTAAAAAATCCCCAGAAATGATGTGCCACTCACACATGCCACCCCTGTTTAGCTACCAGATAGTTTCGGATTTAGTATTGCTATAACTGGATGGGAAACACTTCCCAAAATGGTAAAGACAACTTTACATCAGTTTGACTATGGAAACAATACAGATCACAAAGTATTCAGTTATACTGCAGCTCTGAAGAAAAAAAAAAAAAGGAAATCTACATTCCAGGAGGGAGCATGGCTCTCAGAGGGCCATAAAATCATCTAGAAATTCACAAATTAAGACCATTAATCCTATTTTCATGTAACTTGCATAAAATTTACTTAAAAGACCATATGTGGAGCTCCATTTGCTGGGAAGTTACCAGCTTTTTAGCACGTCACCATCCAACCACATACTCCAGTGTAACTAGAGTGAGTGTTCTTTGCCAACAGAAAAGTCGTTTCTAAATCACTTGGGGAAATCAGAGGTGCTTATTACATACCTATTAATTTATTAATATTACTTCAAAGCATGAAATAGTTACATGATATGACAGTAATATTCCTTCTTTCTACTTGAATAAAACACGAAGAGGTAACTATTTCTTTTTAGAAGATTAAACAATTCTATTATATCAGATTTAAATATAATTTCAGAACAAAAGATCAATGTTTGTGTCCATCATAGTATTTATGAAATTTCTAGCATTTAAAGAAAGAGAGACAAAGAAAGTGAGATCCTTAATAATCCTATATAATAAAAGCCCAGCGACCGAATGGCGGAATGACCAGAATGACCAGTCGACCAGTCGCTATGATGTGCACTGACCACCAAGAGGCAGATACTCAGTGCAGGAACTGCCCCCTGGTGGTCAGTGTGCTCCCACAGTGGGAGCACCGCTGGGCTGACCGGGATGAGCGGTGCTCCCACAACGGGCCAATCCCCACAGGCCACGCCCCACACCAGTGCACAAATCCCATGCACCAGGCCTCTAGTAAAACAATAAGACATAAAATAATGATCTTATTTTTAAGGCAGTGTTTTTCTCATTTGTTTCACTCAATACTTAACAGTGGTTGAACAATCAGGGAGATGGTGAAAAATCAATCTCAAAATTACAATGACTACCAAATCCATGTATAATCCATCATATGACTGGTTTGGGGATAAATCTAAAAGTCATGTGACCAGGCCTCTGTGGGCAACCAGTGAAGCTGCACAGGACTCCACATTAAAAAAGGGGCCTCATGCCTAGGTTTAATGTTCTATGGCTGTTGGCTTAAAATTCTTAATAATTTCATCTTTGAGTTCATTTTTTATAATGAACCAAAGAGATAAGCTGGGGACCTGGAGCCTAGGTTCACACATTGTCTCATCTCCCACCATCTCCTCCCCTCCCCTGAATGAGTCCTTGGCTTCTATCTCACCCAGTGACAAGGCCACCCCTCACCTCAAGGGTCCTGGACCTGGACTGAGAAGAGTTGGGGCAGGTCACAGGATGATGTCCCAGGCACCTGTGAGGGTCTGCACTTGCCCTGTGCATATCCCCGTGCCCAAGGAAATGTGGCATTAAATGGCAAATAAAAGATACCATGACAGATTAAGAGAAAAACTGTAAAAGAAAGGAAAAGCTTTTTCTAACTTTTTGAACAAGGGACTGACATTTTCATTGGGCATGATCCTCACAAATAATGTAGCTGGGTTTGCACACGGTTGTGATGGAAAGAAGCAAGAGAATAAAGAAGAGGAACTAGACGGTATGAGAAATAATGCAGCATACATGGAGGAATAGGGAACCAATTAGCATTAAGAAAGCAAAATGGTTAAATTCCATATTGTTGCAAATGGACCAGATATACTCTCTTCAAAATAATGTTTTATTTCTTTCTGGTTAGAAAGCAATGTATATCACAAAATATTCAGATATATTCAGACACTGAGGATGGGAATGAAAATCTACATTCAAAGAAGTAGCACAGCTCAGGGTATTAAAAAAGTATCTAGAAAACCACAAATTACCACCCACTCATCCCAATTCTATCAAGTGCTACCTCGTCAGTGTTGTGAATCCAAGTCTCCCGGGCATGTTGAGCCTTTGGAACCTGAGCTTATAATTTAAGAACAGTGTTTTATGGGTATCTAAACACAATGCAGGCTAATAAACAGTGTGATCATTATCTTTTCACCTCAGCATTAGCTACCTTCAAGTTTACCAAAGGATATCTTTTGTTTTTCAGCACGTTAGCCTGCCAAGGGATGACGTTGTCTAAACACATTTTCAATGTTTTCTTTTTAACAGTTAATATATTTCCAGGATGCAGGTCCATTTCTTTCTAAAAGGTTCCTAGGACACCCATTGAAAAGTCAAAAGCAATGAACTAAAAGGGATTGCTATTTTGTTGGAGAAGAACGACACCCTTTGTATCGAAGTGGGGAATTACAGACTGTGGTCACCCTCTGCACAGTGTCTCTTTGTCAAGTAATACATGCTGGAAAAAAAATAATACAGATGGGAAAATATTGTGCACTGTCAGATCTTGGAAAGGGCCAAAGGATTTTTCCTCACCAATGTCTTGTCGATGGCTTTCACATTCTGGCACCCTGGAAAAATAATGCATACATTTAATATGAAATGAATGCAATAATAATCAGGCAGGTAATCGTTTTCCCAAGGAATGTAAAACTTGACAAATGTAAGGTTTATGATTCAAGGTAGCCTTGCCAAATCTTATGTGGCATGAGACCATTTTTATTACCTAAACAGTCCTTAACACAAAATGACTGGCACATATTTTTATTAACACAAAGAGTATATTCTTTCTGCCACATTTAATAAAGAGCCAGTGGCTGAAAGCTCTCTTTTAGGATGTGTCTGTAGCAAATTAAAATGCAGAGTGAGGATTCACAGAATGGCATTCTTCTCACTGAGGCTGTGTCCACACAGGCTCAGCACAGTAGTGAGTAGACCGTTGATCTTGGGGAGTCTATCTACATAGACAATCAGGGTGATTTGGATCACAGAAAAGGAAACCCTCATTATCTTCAAAAGTTGGGGAGTTGATAATGAACTCAAGGTCATTCTTTGCATGTAGAGGTCCATCTGAGTCAAATCCAAAACAGTTCCTAGTAATAATGCTGCTTATTTATTTATCCGTTCATTCTGCAAATATTGTTTACGTGCCAGGCACTGCTCTACACACTAGAAATACTGCAGTGAAGACTATAGACAAAGATCTCTGCCTTGCGCTTCTTACATTCTAGAGAGGAAAGAAATGCTACATAATGCATATAACTTAAAAAATAAATCATAAGATAGATGATCGATAGAAGGTGATAGGTGCTATGATAAAATAATGAAAGAATGATAGGGAAAGAAAACTGGAAGCTGAGTGGGTGGGCAGAGAGCAAGTTGCCATTTAAAATAGGGTGGTCAGGATGGGGCCCTTTGAGAAAGTGCAGTGTAAGTGTGACTTGAAGGGTGGGAAGGAATCAACCATGTAAATATCTGGGGGAAGAGACCTAAGGCTGAAAAATGTCTGGCATAGCCAAGGAATAGCCGGGAGATAAACGAACCCTGGGCAGAATAAGCAATGGTGACAGTAGCAGGAGTTGAGGTCAGAGAGGTGAGAGAGGTCACAGTTCGATTTCTGGTCAGGGCACATGCCCAGGCTGCGGGCTCGATCCCCAATGTGGGATGTGAAGGAGGCAGCCAATCAATGAGTCTCGCTCATCATTGATGTTTCTATCTCTCTCTCCCCCTCCCTTTCTCTCTGAAATCAATAAAAAGATACTTATTAAAAAAAAAAGTTGTAAGTTGCAAATACAAATCTTACCACTCAGAGCCATGGCCAACCGGAATTCTTCCTTTAGTATCTCAAGGACATCTTGAACACCTTTCTCTCCCTAAACAAGGAAGAGATACAGATCTTTTGGGTAAGTCATTCTGGCTTGTTTCATGTACTTATTTCACTGTTGAGTTATCCTGTTTTATGTATTTATTTATTTGTCCTCCAATTACCTGGGAAGCCAAACCCCAAATGATTGGTCTCCCCACAAACACAGCCTTGGCTCCCAGGGCCAGAGCTTTCAGAACATCAGTGCCTTTCCGGACACCCCCGTCCAGGAAGACTTCCACTTTCCCTTCAACGGCCTCCACGATTTCGGGCAGAGCATCAATCTGTGGAAAGAAGAGGTCAATTATGAGGCAATACTCTGCATGATGCATTGTTACCCTCTTCAACACCCACAGCCCACTGACCATCTGACTAGGACTCAGAGTAAAAGAAGCTAAGTAGATTTGGAATCAACAGTAAAGTCCCCCTGAAATAAAAGTGGTGCAAATGCTAGTAACTAAAACAAATAAGCAACAACAACAAAAACACAACAACAACAAACTAAATTTGGAATTGGGTGGCTTCTTTTCTGTCAGAAACCACAATATTTTTTCTGTTCCTGATATTCAAATTCAAAGATCATGATTTTATTTTATTTTTTTATTGATTTTTATAGAGAGAAAAGAAGGGAGAGAGAAAGAAATCAATTTTTGCTGTTCCACCTATTTATGCATGCAATCAGCATATTCTTGTATGTGCCCTGACTGGGGATCAAACCCAAAATGTTGGAGTATTGGAATGATGCTCTAACCAACTGAGCTACTTGTTCAGGGCCAAAAATCATGATTTTTAAAAATATAAACCTAATTTTATTTTATTATTATTTTAAAATATATTTTTATTGATTTCAGAGAGGAAGGGAAAGGGAGAGAGATAGAAACATCAATGATGAGAGAGAACCACTGACCAGCCACCCCCACACCCACCCTCCTGCACACCCCACACTGGGGCCTGAGCCCCACAACTCTGGTATGTGCCCCGACTGGGCACAAAACTGTGACCTCCCAGTTCATAGGTCTCCATGAAAAAATAAATAAGTAAATAAATAAATTATATATATATTAGAGGCCTAGTGCACAAATCTCTCAGCCTGGCCTGCACCCTTCAATCCAGGACCCCTCAGGGGATGGCAGAAACCGGCAGTCCGACATCCCCCAAGGGATGTAGTAGTGCACGAAGTGGCAGGCAGTTGGGGAGGACCCCAAGCCCGGGCCAGGCGATCCTGGCCCTGCTGCACCTGCTGCTGCTGCTCGGTAGGGCTGTCATGGAGGTGGGAGAGGCTTGTGCCATCGCAGCTGTGCTTGCCAGCCGTGAGCCTGGCGTCTGACACCTGGCAGTCAGCTGAGCAGCACTCCCGCTGTGGGAGTGCACTGACCACCAGGGGGCAGCTCCTGCATTGAGCGTCTGCCCCCTGGTGGTCAGTGTGTGTCATAGCAACCAGTCTTTGGTAGTTTGGTTATTCAGTTGCTTAGGCTTTTACATATACTAGAGGCCCAGTGCACGAAATTTGTGCACAGGTAGGGTCCCTAGGCCTGGCCTGCAATCAGGGCCCATCAGGTTCTCCGCCTCTCCACCTCTCCACCTCCTCCTCCCCTCACCACCCACACACTGCCACTACGTGGTTCCCCCAACCTCCCTGCCTCCCCGCCTCCTCCTTCCCTTGCTCCCTCAGCGCCCTGCAGCCGCTGATCGCCCGCCATGTTCTGTGCCACCCCCTGGTGGTCAGCGCATGATATAGCGAGAGATCAAACTCCCGTTCTCCCAGTCGAACTCCTTAGCGGACACTTTGCATATTAGCCTTTTATATATATAGAAGATAGATGTATGTGTATATGTGTGTGTATGTGTGTGTGTGTGTGTGTGTATTTAATTCTCACCCCAGGATATTTTTCCATTGATTTTTAGAAAGAGTAGAAGGGAGAGGGAGAGACAGAGAGAGAAGCATTGATGTGGCAGAGACACATTGATTGGTTGCCTCCCACATGCACCCCGACCAGGGTCTGGGATTGAGCCTGCAAACGAGGTATGTGCCCTTGATGGGAATCAAATCTGGGATCCTTCAGTTCGTAGGCGGATGCTTTATCCACTGAGCTAATTGGCTTGGGTGAAAATATCTTTCTTGCTTTTAAAGGGATATGACCACATGTACCTTGAAGGTCCTCATCTTGATTGGCAATTGATAATGAGCTTATATCATCACTAGAGAACACAAGATCCTCATAGAGGTTGATCTGGTAAATTGCATCATTGTTCCTGATCTTTCACACCACTCTGAACCCACTAATTTTTCAAGGCAACTTTGCAGTTTCCCACTAAAAAGAAAAAACTAGCCAAACCGATTTGGCTCAGTGGATAGAGCGTCGGCCTGCGGACTGAAGGGTCCCGGGTTCGATTCCGGTCAAGTGCAAGTACCTTGGTTGCGGGCACATCCCCAGTAGGAGGTGTGCAAGAGGCAGCTGTCGATGATACTCTCTCATCGATGTTTCTAACTCTATCCCTCTCCCTTCCTCTCTGTAAAAAATCAATAAAATATATTAAAAAAAGAAAAAAGAAAAAACTAATTCAGTGCACTTGCCCAGTCCTTGATGTTGGCCTTGGGCTTGCAACCTTCTTTGACAAATAGCATGTAAGGTGGAGAGTGTCATTTCTGGGCATAGGCCTTAAACACCCTCATGGGTCTCAACTTTCTCTTGCACCTGTGCCATTTGCCATGAGAGGAGAATCCTCTGGTCACTCCTTCCCCCTTAGGCCCCAGGATAAATATTCAGGAAGCAGAGCTAGCCCAGCCAAACTCAATTGGACCTGAAACTGGGAGCACAGTCACCTAACCAGTACCAAGTCCATATCAGCAGACCTGCAGTTCACACAGAGTTTCATGGGAATAAATTACTGTTGGTTTAAAATACTGAATTTGGAATCTTGTTTTATAGCATCACGTGCCAATAGTGACTATAGTTGGCTAATCGCCAATATAGTTCATAGCTTATAGCTGACACTGTCAGCTACTTTGATCTAAATCTTTGCACTTGGGAATGGAAACAATTCCCAAGGTGACCTGCAGGTCAAAATCTATAGAAATTATTCACATTCATACCAACATATTTAAATCTAAAGTTAAATACAATCCCCACTTAAAATGCATGCTGAAAAAGCTACCATGCATTCAAGTGCAGTTTTTTCTCAAAATAATTGTGCTGAAATTACTCAGAAGTTTTTCCCACTTCACCCCTAAAATTTTAGAGGCAAAACTTAAAAAGAGTTTTATGTAAAAGGCTGAAGACCAAACCCGGCAACAGATTTGGAGGAAGTGAAGGCAACATTTGGCGTGCAGCCCCTAAATGTTTGGCAAGCACTGTGATTTTCCTCTTTTCCCTTTTGGCTTCTCTGCCTTGCCAAACATGCTTTGGATCCATTTACATATGCCCCTTTACCTATACATAGTCCTCCTTTTACAGTCAGGCAAGTTACATCAACATAGAAATGCTACAATTTCCAAGGGATGATGCAAGCTATAATTAAGCATATTTCCCCATTTGAAACCAGAACCAAAGAATAATATTAGCTAGCTCGGGTTCAATACACATTTTCAAAGTCACGCAACTCAAGTCTCTTTAGGTTATTTCCAATGCCCGGCCTGGTCTAAAAGGAAACTGTTACGGATAATTTAAATGTGAATCCTGGGTTATAAAAAGGAACCCAGATTGGTGTTGCATGTGTCTGTGGACAAGCCTGTTCTATTCATTTGCTGAGGATTTCTGTCCTCCTCCTCCCTTTTTTCCCCTTTATTGCAATTTTACTGAGTATTTCAGAGAATAATTCTGATCAGGGGAGATTAAATAAATAAATATCGTAGACAAATCCACTATTTTATGACTCTGTTGTTTCCTTCTTTTCAGCTTGCTACACATCTAAGAGACCATTCATTTCAGCTTTTCTTTCCTTAGTGATTCTTTAGACAACTAGTTGTGGCCTTAATTCCAGTGGGTTTAATATATAGAAAAAAAATATGGTAAATCCCAATGTACTATTGCTCATTCACCCATCCATTCATCGACTTATCAAACACTTTATTGAGGACCTGGTATATTCAAGTCACTATGCCAGGTGGCTTAAAGAGTCTGAAAAGAAAATCTCAGAGATGCAAGAAGAATCCCACATGGATCCAAAGGACAGGGACACCTCTTTGCCATTCCCACTCAAGCCACATTCTCCCAAGGATGCTTGCTCCTGGTCCTCCAGAACTCCCACTCCCAGGGAGCTCTCGCCTTTCTCCCTTCCTGTTGTCTCCATTATTATATCCCTAATTTCTGAGATTTTAGGGTTGGGACCCTTTAAAGGTTTCAAACCAAAGCAATTGAACATAAACAAAAGCAAGCAAAACCAGAGTTGAAAAACAAAGGAGTCCAGGCCACTGCCCACAAATTCTTCCCTGACTCTCTGGCTTGCCCATCACACTGTGCCAGGCATCCCTGGGTAGTTTCTATTAAGCCCACTTAGAAAGTCATTGGCCCACACAGGCAAGCCCTGCTTACTTGCAATTGCAAAAATGTCTTTGTTTCCTTCCAATGTGACATTTCAGCTCCTCCCATCACAGGGGAAAATATGACCAGAAGAGTTTATTTCCTCACCCCTTGAGTTTAAACTAGCTTTTGTGACCAACAGAATAGGAGAGAAGCAACAATATGTCTGTTCCAAGCCTAGGCCTTGCGTGCTTGCACTTACTCTCAGAAGTCTGCCACCTCATGAGAACCGGCTCAGCTAATGTGCTAGATGTTAGACAATTAAAAGCTGTTCCTGCTGATGTCAGCCTACACCAGCCTGTCCAAGTAGACCCAGCAGCTGACCACAGATGCATAGGAGTGAGCCCAGCCAACACCAGAATAACCTCCCAGACCAGTGGTTCTCAACCTGTAGCGACCCCTTTGGCGGTCGAACGACCCTTTCACAGGGGTCGCCTAAGATCTGCATATCAGATATTTACATTACGATTCGTAACAGTAGCAACATTACAGTTATGAAGTAGCAACGAAAATAATTTTATGGTTGGGTCACAACATGAGGAACTGTATTTAAAGGGCCAGAAGGTTGAGAACCACTGTCCCAGACAATCTCAGATTGACTTGCCAACTCACAAAATTGTGACATAAGTAAATGGCTATTGAATTTTGGCCAGTAAGTTACACAGCAAAAGCTAACTAATACATCAAGTGTTTCTCAAAGATAGAATTGCATGAATCTCTTTTAAAAGGAAAATATTTTAGATCTCATAGAAGAGCCCAAGGAATCAAGAAACATTTGACTTAACAACCCAAATACTTATTTTAAATAAATCTCCTGCAGTTTAAAATTTTCACTAGAAAAGAATGGCATATTCATAAGTTTAAATTTGGGTCCTGTTAGCATCAAAACAAAAATTGAAAAGAAATATTGCTGCTATGGTTCAATGACTAGAGAGAATAGACCTTTAAACCACAATTTGCGATGTTCAGTACTATAGATTTTGGAAATTGATTTGATTCTGTCATATTGTTCTCTAATTACTTCAAGATCAGTCGTGGTCATATTATTACCTTGCAGGTAAGGACCTTGACATGAGCTTAACTTTTAATGCCTTTTGGGTATAGCAGAGGTCTGGCAGGGGTTCTCAATGGTGTGATATTAAGCTGAATGAAGTAAGATTCTTAGTGATAAGAATTTCCCATCCAAGGGAACTTGGTGATTTATAGAAATGTAGAAATCAGATAGTCCAGCTGCTTCCTTTTCGCAATCAACACAAAACGACGAAGAAGCTCCAGCTGAAAAGTTTAAGCCACTTGCTCACCCAGGTCACACCCCTGAGAAAAGGCAAGACAAGGACTTGAGACTATGACTCTAGACTCCTATTTCGGTGCTTCCCCCCATGACGTCACTCTGCGTTTTTAGCTCTGACTTATGATGTCACATAATCTGCAGGACAGCAAGCCCTTCTGTGTATCTACTGAAAAGTCTTACACCACAGCCTCCTCTAAGCCTTTTGCCACTTACCTCAAAACCCACATTCGGAGGGAAAAACATCTTCCTGTAAACCGAATCCTTTCTCATATTTCTCTCACCATCATGGGCCTTCAGTTCACTCTATGAGGCAAAACTCAAGCAAGCACTCCTCTCTCGTGCACAGCATGCAAAGGGGAGGGTCACTGTTTTTCTTAGAAGTCTCTGAGACCACAGCTCAAAAAGCCCTTTTAGATAAGTTTCCATATCCCCTCAGCCAGAGGGAAATAAACCACACCATTTAGATATTTTTCCCTTAAAATCTAGTTAGATTTGATTTCAGCAGATTTAGATTTTATTTTTAGAAAACAAACTTAATTTGGCCCGCACACTAAGTCAGTGTCTTCATACATAAGAGAGGCATAAATCTGCAAAAAAGCCAGGAGCTATGACCAACTTTTCCTCCCTGCCCAGAGGAGGCACTCCGCCTTTATTTACCTGCAGGCAACATTTAAAATCACCTAAAAATACAGCTCCCTGATAAGTAAGGCTGAATCAGAAAGAGCTGAAAACAAGGTGGAACGTGGGGTGGGGTGGGGGTGAGGAGAGATTAACCAAAGAATTCACATGCATATATGCATAACCTATGGACACAGACAATAGTGAGGTGAAGGCCAGGGGCGGAGAGGTGGGGGTGGGGTGGAGGGGGGTCAATGGGGAACAAAAAGGGGACATCTGTAAGACTTTCAACAATAAAAATAAATTTAAATAAATAAATAATAACATAAAGTGATGAACAAAATAGAACCAGAGGCAGGGATACATGGAACAGACTGTCAGCTGCCAGAGGGGAGGGGAGTGGAGGAGACTAGAGATAAAAGGTGAAGAGATTAGCCCAAGGACATATATGCATAATCCATAGACACAGAACAGTAGTGAGGTGAGGGCCAGAGGGAAGGGGGTGGAGGGCTGGAGCTGGGTGGAGTTGGCTAAGGGGCAGGGGGAGAATGGGAACATCTGTAACAGTGTCAACAATAAAAATAAAGTTAAAAGAAAAGGAAGTCTTGACAGTGTAATCCTACAGTGTGCAAAGACTTGGTTTGTTTCTATCACTAGTGTTTGAGGGAAAACTGTGAGTATAGATATGTGTACCCAATATCCCTTCTAGTCATTTAGTCTGCTCTAAGACCTATACAACTGTCTATGGATTTAATTAAATCAAACATGCTAGCTCAATAAAACAATAACCCACTACCACTTGACTAAATTACTTGTTCTATTCTACTTCTAGTTGTTTGAATCAACTGGTCATCTTAATGAAAGGCATTCATTATAGCAACTATGACTGAATGATTCTGACAAAAGGGGGGAAATACATATGGTGGTCCAGATCAGAGATGGTGGTCTGGAAAGTCCATCCACATGGTTTGGTAAACATATTTTTTTGTTTTGTTTTGTTATGTAATACATAATCTTAGCTTACTTTGCCTATAATAAATCAGATTTTAGGATAAAAGGTGAAGAGATTAGCCAAAGAAGTATAGTCACAAAAGAAATAATGTAATGATGTTTAAACTTTAACAAATGAGAAAAACTAAGGTTTAGAATAGAAATTGATGCCCTCTGCCCTGTTGTAATTCGGGCCTTTCTCTCTTCCCTTAGCCACCTAACTGATCTTCCTGCCTCCTGTCCTGCCAAAATCCAATTTCTAAGATTCATTGCTGCTAAATCAAGGCGCTTCTATTGTATATCCAATGACTCATCATTTGGAAGAAAATCCTCCTCCCTGATCTGTCCACGCCAACCAGACACTGAAAACAAAATGGATTACTTGAAATTCCCCAAACATAGCCCACTCCACATTTAGGCTCACACCTCTAAAAGCAGGGGTCCACATGGAGACAGAGCAGAGGTGCAAGGCAACAGCAAAGCCACTGCCTCATCTAAAAGAATTGTGGCCGAGTTCCCACAAGTGAACAACATGGAAGATAACTACTTTTAAATACCACACCCACTCTAGCTCCTGGCCCCATTCTGGATATGGATCCATGAAATTCACTGCAGGATATGTGTCTCTCTTCATGACTTTTTACCTATTTCTGGGCCCCTAATTCTTGATCTCAAAAATCTGCCCGAGTGCCTCTATTGATCTTGGGGTTAACTGCTCTCCTTTATAGTTTTAACTCAGTACCACACTTTTCCAGCCAATTTGGTTTACTTTTATATCTAGACTAGATGTCCAGTGCACAAAATTCTTGCACAGAGGGGGGCTGTCCCTCAGCCCAGCCTGTACCATCTCCAATCTGGGATCCCTCGGGGGATGTCCTACTGCCGGTTTAGGCCCGAACCGGCAGTAGGACATCCCCCTCACAATCTGGGATCTCTGGCTCCTAACCGCTCGCCTGCTGCCAGCCTGATTGCCCCTAATCACCTGTGCCAGCCTGCCTGATCACCCTGATCACCATCTAACTGCCCTTCCTTGCTGGCCTGATTGCCCCCAACTGCCCTCCCTGCCAGGCTGGTCGCCTCCAACTGCCCTCCCCTGTCAGCCTAATCACCCCCTAACTACTTGCTCCCCCACACCAGCCTGATCTCACCTCTAACTGCTTGCTCCCCTGCCAGCCTGATCGCCCTTAACTGGTTGCTCCTCTGCCAGCCTGATCGCCCCTAACCGCCTCTGCCTCAGCCCCCACCGCCGTGGCTTTGTCTGGAAGGAATTCGGACGTCTGGGAGATGTCCTGTCGACCCGGTTTAATTAGCATATTACCCTTTTATTAGTATACATTTTGGACTCTAATTTGCCTAGCACAGAGTATACAGTGTATAAAAACCACAGATGCACATTGAAATCTCCTGGGTAGCTTTAAATACTACTGGTGCCTCTGCTCCCCATCCCTAGAGATTCTGATGATTAATCTGGGTTGCAGCCTACCTCCCCTCACCTGGGCCATAGGATTTCATCTCCTTTCCCAACCACCTACCATTTCTCTACAGCTTTCAACCCCTATATCCACAGGAAAATGCAGTCTTTCCCTACTTCTGACTTCTTGTCATAGTTGTACCAATGATCTCGAACTCCACCAAAGCCTTTTGCAAATACTGCAACTATCTGTTAGCTCCTCTTCTTTGGACTTTTATGTTATAACTAGAGGCCCAGTACATGAAATTCGTGCATCGGGGGGGGGGGGGGGGGGGGGTCCTCTCAGCCCAGCCTGCACCCTCTCCAATCCAGGACCCTTTGGGGGATGTTCAACTGCTGGTTTAGGCCTGATCCCGGGGATCAGCCCTAAACTGGCAGTCGGACATCCCTCTCACAATCCTGGACTGCTGGCTCCTAATTGCTCACCTGCCTGCCAGCCTGATCACCCCTCACTGCCTCTGCATGCCAGCCTGATCGCCCCCAACTGCCCCCTCCCTGCCTGCCTAGCCACTCCTAACTGACCCCCCTGCTGACCTGGTTGCCCCTCATGGACCCCCTGCTGGTCTGGTTGCCCCACACAGCCTGCTGTTCAGTCGTTTGGTCGTCCCTCTCTAATCATCCTGCCGGCCTGGTTGCCCCAAGCAGCCTGCTGTTCAGTCATTTGGTCGTCTCTCACTAATCTCCCTGCTGTCCTGGTTGCCCCATGCAGCCTGCTTGTTCTGTCGTTTGGTCGTCCCTCACTAACACCCTTGCCAGCCTGGTCGTAGGCAGCCATCTTGTGAGGGCATGAATGTTAATTTGCATATTACCTCCTTATTATATAGGATAATTTCTTTTGCACTTTCATTTATATTATACCTATTGGTATACCTATGAATACAAGAGTAATCCCTGACCACAAATGATTTATAATTTAACTTTTTTTAGTTTGCAAATAAGCATATTGGACTAATTATCTAATTTAGGTAATTATGTACCCCTAACTTAAAATCTGAGATCTCCTATATTTACATATATTTTATCTTGACTGTTCAAAAACATACACAGTGAGGAGGCAGACACAGAGATGATCAAAATTTTGATGGAAATGAGAAACCCAAAAATAAATCTCAGCATTTGCTCTAACTCACAGTGGCTGGCACCCCATCAAGTTGTCGAGCTCCATGATTCGACACCAAGATCCCATCCAAACCATGTTTAACTGCCTCCCTGGCATCATCTCCTAGAAAGAGCAAGACAATCATCATAAGAAAAGACTACTTAACAGAAGGCTTAGGTTTAGGGGTCAAAGCATCAAAATCAAAGGGAACCTGATCTCACACATATATACCTTGCTAGGAACCCGTAGCACAGACATACTAAGGGTTAGATCTAGAATAGCAGATCTATCTTGGTCAAAAAAAGTTAGCAGTCATAACAATTTAATTATAAAATAAAATTATCAATAGACTGTAAATTGACATGCACCTAAATTTATTTATCCTCATAAGGAAGTATTCCTGCTAATTATGTTTTATTATCAATAAGATCATACCATTTAGCAGTTAGCAGAATTATTCCTCTACAATTTGTGTGTGTTTTTTAATCTTTATTGTTGAAAGTATTACATATGTCCCCTTTTTTCCCCTACAATTTGGATAGCATAAAAGAATATATAGCCTGTTTGGCTCAGTGGATAGAGCATCAGCCTACAGACTGAAGGGTCCTGGGTTTGATTCCGACAAGGGTACATGCCCAGGTTGCAGGCTCAATCCCCAGTAGGGGTCAAGCAGGAGGTAGCCAATCAATGATTCTCTCTTATCATTGATGTTTCTATCTCTTTCTTCCTTTCCATTCCTTTCTGAAATCAATAAAAGTTAAAAAAAAATTTAAAAAAGAATATATAATTGGCAAGCACTTTAACAGGTAATGAACAACTCTAATTCAAAAACATTATTTAATACAAAGTTATAACTTCAATACTTATTTTAATTTATAACTTCAATCCTTATTTTAATTTATAACTTCAATAATTATTTTAATTCTATAATTAAGTGTATTATACCCATTGAATTACATAAGAATCTAATATTAAAATTAGGTTTCTTCTCTAATTATGCTTCAAAATAGATTGATTTCTAAAAATACAATTTTAAAAGAAATTAACATTCTCTTAAATCAACTTCCAAAATATATCTTATATTTCATATTTTTTATTTTTTTACAGTTTTGCACCTTATTTTATACATTAGAATTAAAGGAGATGACATAAGGGGGTTACATGAAATCCATTTGTGGTAGATTAGGGAGGAAGGAGAAAGCAAAGTGAGCAAATTTCTGGGATTGAATAAAAAGTAAAACAAATAAACACATAATTATATATTGGTGGGCACAGAATAGTTAACAGTTAACAATTAACATCTATAATAATAAAAGCGTAATATGCTAATTAGACCGGACATCCTTTCAGACATCCTTCTGGAAGACCTTCTGGATAAAGCCGGGGCTGCGAGGGAAGCCAGTGCCAGCAGCTGGGGGAAGGAAGGCCTACTCTTGCACGAATTTTGTGCATCGGGCCTCTAGTGATAACAATAACAATGAGGGGTTCTGTGGTCTCCTGCTCTGGTAGGTCTGGAAAAAGCAAATTACCCTGACATTACAAAGATATGTTATCATAGATGCAAAAAGTTAATAGACAGGCCCTAGCCAGTTTGGCTCAGTGGACAGACCCTTGACCTGCAGACCAAAGGTCCCAGGTTTCTATTCTGGTCAAGGGCACTACATACCTAGGTTGCAGGTTCCTTCCTGGTGGGGGCCCTGGTCAGGGGGTGTGCAGCAGGCAACCAATTGATGTGTTTCTCTCACACTGATATTTCTCTCTGTTTTCCCTCTCTCTTCTACTCTCTAAAAATCAATGGAAAAATATCCTTAGGTGGGGATTAAAAAAAAAGAAAAGACCACAGGCAGGCTCAATTAAGGTAAAGATGGACCTTTGTAAAGGAAGATACTGGCCTAGGCCATGACTACCCGCCACGACTCGCTTTTAGTTAGGAAGTTTAATTTCAGCCCCTCCTCTGTGGTCACCTTAGGTCTCCGAATTTGTAAGGCCCATCATGCAGGCCTCCTCTGAGCTTGTCCATTTTAGCAGGTAGCTCCTTTTCCTCCACACACTTCCCGTTTGGTAATAAATTAACCCAAAAGATGCACTGATGGCCAACCACTGATTTGGACAGTGTGGCCCACTGTGCTAGGAAGGCTCATTTCTGGGAAGTTAGCATTTGTCTTGCCGAACAATAGACGACTGAAAATCGGGCAAGACCATAACCTTGGATGGAAGTCAAGGCCAAATTTTTCTCAAAAGTGAAAAGCAGGTAAATGGAAGGCCATCAGGTCTTAATGTGCCTTCACTAGGAAAAACACTCTGCATCACTTCTAACCAATATTTTGCTGTTTGTCTCACTTCTCGGTATGTTGCCTCTAGTGTCACACTGACTTCTATTTTAAACTATTATTCTCAGCACGTTCCCAATAACAAACCATTTGCTAACAGAATAATGAAAGTAATGCTAGGTCTCAAGTTTACAAAAATAGTTGGTTCAAGGTTGTAATGAAAATCATAATTTGGGAACTTAAGCAGATGGGTACAGAAAATTGTACATATTTATTAATTCCCAATGGAGATCAAGGGGAGACCTGATTAAGAATAATAAGAAAGATTCACAGGAGAACCTGGAATTCTGATTGTTTTCAAATGTTATGCTTAAACACCATTTCCACACTGTTTCACAGAATACTAGATTTTAAATATTTCCATATTTTAAAGTGATGCTAGTATTATTTTTCTTCTAAAGTTATAGGTATATGAAAATGTTAAGCCCATGTTTTATGGACTGAATGTGTGCATCCCCCCAAAAGCCTTGGGTTGCAGCCCTAACTTCCAAAGTGATCGTCTTTGGGGACTATTTAAGGTTAGATGAAGTCATGAAGGTGGGGCTCTCTTGATGGTATTACTACCCTTATAAGAAGAAACCAGAGAGCTTGCTCCCCAACCCTTCTATGTCCCAACAAAGAAGAGGTCATGTGAGCACACAGTGAAAAGGGGGCCTCTGAACCCAAGGAGATAGCCTGCACCAGAGAATAAGCCTGGTGGAACCCTAATATCAGAATTCCAGCCTCCTACATTATAAGAAAATAAATTTCTGTTGTTTAAGCCATCCAGTCTGTAGCATTTTGTTATGGCAGCCAAGCTGACTAACATCATGTCATCATGTCCTTGTTGCTCTTATCAGACCCAACTTTAATGCTGTTGTCAGATCCTTTAATGCTATGACAAACCCTAAAAGGCAATGAAATAGTATGAAAGGTGTTCTGATATATAAGTATCAGTGTTTAGCAACTACTTTCTATGTTATTTATTTGCCTTTAAGCCCGAGTTACTATGCATTTATTATATACTAATAAATCATTGATATTCTACATTTTTTTCATATTAAATATGAAACCTAATGTTTCTAAGAGACTGTTTTGGCTGTTTTATTCCAAGCATGCATTTCATCTTGTGAGATCTTACTGGCAATTTTTGAGTCACTCATAAGGAAAAGGTCCTAGCTTCAAGATTGAAAGATGATGGTTTTCCCAACCCTAATGACTAATTCATATTTCACATTTTAATGTTGCTTTATATTTGGACCATATGTGTTTTATTACAGCTCTTTCTTTTCCTAGATTTCTAATTGCCTTCCTTTCCTTTTTTCTCCATTTATCATGAGACTTAAAAAAAATATTTATTGTTGAAAGTATTACAGATGTCCTCCTTTCTCCCCATTGACCCCTTCACCCTGCACACACCCCCAGACCTTCACCAAACTATTGTCTGTGTCCATGGGTTATGCATATATGCATATAACTTCTTTGGTTAATCTCTCCTTACCCCTGACCCATCTTCCCTCTGAGATTCATCAGACTTTAGAGCAGCAGTTCTCAACCTGTGGGTCACGACACCTTTGGGGGTCGAACGACCCTTTCACAGGGGTCGCCTAAGACCATCGGAAAACACATATGTAATTACATATTGTTTTTGTGATGAATCACTATGCTTTAATTATGTTCAATTTGTAACAATGAAATTGGGGGTCACCACAACATGAGGAACTGTATTAAAGGGTCGCGGCATTAGGAAGGTTGAGAACCACTGCTTTAAAGTATCCTCAAGTCCTTCAAACCTTTAACTTACTCTAACCTACTTAAAGCACCTTATTTTCCCTCTGAAGACACCTCCCCTCCCCTCTGGCCTTCCTACTCTATCCTGTTCTGATTACTCTGCCTACTGCCACCTCATCCTATGGATTGCTCCTACTCTCTCCGAGTTGCATCTCTTGTCGTCAAGTTTATGCATTCATTTGGTTTATGGTCTCCCTTGTTACAGTACATTCCTTTGTAACTTTCTAAACAGAAGAAGCTAAATGTACAGGTCACTTAAATGACTTCTCTTGGGTCTAAATAATTGGATTAGATCCAATATTCTACACTGGAAAATCCTTTTACTTAGGCTCTTAAAGACATTACACCTTTGTCTTCAAGTGCCCATTGCTGTTGACAAGCAGATTGAGGCGAGTTTGACTCCCATTCCTCTGTAAGTAACCCGTTTTATGCTTCTTCTCTCTCTTTACACACATTTCCCCCTTGAAATTTCACGAGATGTAATAAGCAGTGTTTGTTCTTTCATTGTAGTGGCCTATGTCTTTACTAATTTCCTCCCTGTCTCCTTCTTTTACTTTTTTATCTGAAGACCTAGTCAATTGAACACTGGACATTTAAAGGGTTTTCAAGCCGCTCCTTCATTTAATCATATTTTGTTTCTATTTGTCTTGTTGCTCTTTGACATTTTGGGAAATGTCATTAACCCTATTATTCAATTCATAATTTCATTTTTAATTCAAGAAATTATATTTTTAAAATATTTGGTGGATTCTTTTTCTATTCTGGTTTTCTTTTCATGGGAGGCTTTTCTTCATTAGGTATATTTTCAGCTTCTTTTAGTCTATCATTTGGAACTTTTAAATTTATTTTTCTTGTTTTTACAGTGGTTCTCAACCTTCCTAATGCCGCGACCCTTTAATACAGCTCCTCATGTTGTGGTGACCCCCAACCATAAAATTATTTTTGTTGCTACTTCATAACTGTAATTTTGCTACTGTTATGAATCGTAATGTAAATATCTGATATGCAGGATGTATGTTCATT